TGCATTAGTTGTTTCATTAATTTCGATTGTCAAATTCAATTCACATACTTAGATTGTTGTTTAGATTAAATTTACTTATTGGATCTTTAATTTATTGGATCTTCAATTGCTTGTTTACTTGATGTTTGCATTAGATTAAGTGCGATTTCACTTTAAATTTTGTTATTAAATAGTTAAAATTAAAATTGTTTGCATAATTAGTTAATTAAGATTTAGTTTAATTCAGTTTTAAATTAGTTAAATTTGTTATTGCATTAATTAGTTGCTATTAGTTTAATTAGTGAATTTATTTGCATATTAGTTAATATTGAATTTTTTGAATATAATCAAAGGTGAGATGATTTTAGTAATTGGTTCACTTTTTCACAATCTCCATGTGAACAAATATTACTTAATATTACTTGATTATGATTCTGTGCACTTACAAATTAGCACTATTTGACAAAGAAACCTAAACACGCTTCCACCCTAATCTTATATCTTATAAAAAAACTCAACTTGTCCTAACTTGATCCCGAATTAAAAAAATTGTCTCTCATCATATTGGAATGGATCAAAACTCGTTAGATACATATTGTTTTGGCATTTTCTATCAATCGACACCATTTGTTATGAAATTTATCTAATTAAAAAATATAAAAAAAATGAAAAAGAAAAAAGTCAAATGGGAGTAACATGTGAACATCCCCATTGGCCTCATTTTTTTTACAAAATTAATTTAATAAAAAGGCATAAAAACAAAAAAATAAAGAAAGCCAACAAATGGAAGAAAAAAAAAATGAAGCTCATTGGGATAATATATAAACATTGCAATTGAGTTTAAAATATTAATCTTTTAAATTAAAATATCAAATAATAATTTTATTTATAAAAATTTTAAAATATATATATATAAAAAAAGGAAAAGAGATATCATTGAGGTGTCTTATGGACAACCAACAAAAAGTCAACGAAAGTAAAATCCAATGAATGGATATATATATATATTTAATGGAAGTCTTTTCTTATTCACCTCTTCCATTTTCCAAATGAATAATAATAAACAACCTTTATTGAACTCAAATGTCAAACATTTACTTTCTTAAATGTCATCTATTATGACAATAAATGATGTTTGCTTTCTTAAACATCATCTATTTTGTAACTAAAAGACAAATATTATCCACTGGTCCAAATATTTTTATCCATTGAAAGTAGACTATGTTTATATGATGTAAATGTCATCTATTATGATAATAGATGATGGTTATTTTTTTTCAAATCATCATCTATTTTTAATTAAAAAGGTTAAGAAAAATAATTAAAGAGAAACCTTTTTTGTATGAATAAGGCATAGAGTTAAAGTAAGGAAAGATAAACTTCCCCATTTCTTTCATATATAATATTATTAGGGATCACCATAACTCTGATACTACTTATTATGCCAAAAGCCTCAATCTAATTCATGTCAAAGGAAACATAATCAAACAATTAATCAAACAAATACAAACTCATATACACTCATACACCCATATCTATATGGATATTCTCAGTCTCCTCTAACCCACTCACAAACATACAAACATACACATCCATAAGACGTAAATCTTCAGTAGTCTTATGAGTTGTTTATCCCATAAAACCTTATAACTTTCTTACATATTTTTCTCATACCTAGTCCTATAGAGACTTCACCTATTTATAAGTATATAAATTTGCCTATTAAGAATCTCTTTCTTCTTAGAATTCTTCTTCTGTAAATTAAATTTGCATATTAAGAATCTATTTTCTCTTAGAATTCTTCTGTTGCAAGTCTTTTTGTCCATTAAGGAATATTTAACCAATCCTAAACAAATCTGTTATGGGATTTAAGTGACTATTCCCAACAATCTCTACCTTGGCTTAAATTTCATCAAATCATCTTTTTTTTCATGCTAGACATGTTTAGCTCTACCTAGTCTCACAATCATTTTCTCTATGTATCTTCACGTTTTACGTAAATCGATCCCCAATCCTTAAAATTTGAACTCGAACTATTCTCTTGAATCAAGCTCTTTCAGGCTTATCTTTTCTCATGGCTCAAATCATGCTTTGATACCACTTGTTTGGGATCACCACAACTTTGATACCATTTGTTAGGCCAAAAGCCCCAATCTAATTCACGTCAGCAGAAGCATAATCAAATAATTAATCTAACAAATACAAACTTATATATACTCATGCACCCATATCTTTGTGAACACTCTCAATCTCCTTTAGTCCACTCACAAACATACAAATATACACAACCATAAGACGTAAATCTCTAATAGTCTTATGGGAATAGTCTTATGGGGTGTTTATCTCATAAAACTTTATAATTCTTTTACATCTTTTTCTCATACCTAATCCTATAAAGACTTCACCTATTTATAAGCATATAAACTTGCTTATTAAGAATCAATTTTTTCTTACAATTCTTTTTCTACAAGTCAAACTTATCTATTAAGAATCTATTTTCTCTTAGAATTCTTTTTTTTGCAAGTCTTCTTGTTTATTAAGCAATATCTAATCAATCCTAAACAAATATGTTATGGGATTTGAGTCACTATTTTTAACATATATATATTTTAAATCTAAATGGTTAAAGAACATATAAAAGCTTTTGAAATATGATTTGACATATGATATCTTTTGAAATATCATACATAAACAAAATTAATAGTATGGATGAATGATAATAAAAGCTCTTTTTTTTTTACAAATGCAATAAAAAGTAAAATTGGTGATATGATAATAAATTAAAATTGAGAATAATTTTAACATATAAGTGTAGGTTTGATGTTTAATTACGTTATCATTATAAGTTTTTGTGATGTGAAATTTTAGGAGACATCGCAATTTAAGATGCCCATTGCCAATTACAAAATCTAAGGATGACCATATTAACATATTTTAAGCTTTCAAGTGGAATAACATAAAAATAGAATAGAAAACAAAAATTCAACATTCTCATGATAAAAACGGTTTACTTTAGTTTGGGTTAACCTAAATGATGATTTGCAAAACAAATATTCAATATCTTATTAATATCAAGTGGGTTTGAAACGTACAATCAGTTACCTTAACTAAACTCCAACTATGGATAAAAATTATTCTGGTAAAAAGGTAAAAAAGGTTTTTAAACAAAATTTTAATAACTATTTAAATTTTTTATATTTAATTATAATCAATTTAAGTATTAAATTTTTTATTTTGAATAATTGAATTTTTAAAAATTTAATTTTTACCTAATTAAATTTTTAAACATTTATTTTTATTTAATTAAACTCTCGATTGTATAAAAATAATTAAATAATTTTTCTCTAAAAAAGATTCAATTAGTGAAAATAAATATTTGAGAACTTAATTGATTGTAAAAAAATAAAAATAAAAACTTGAATGATTATTGAATTTTAATTCAAAATTTGTTTTTGACCTTTTCGTTAATTATTTTTTATGTACAAGTTGATTTTTCCTAATATATATTAAATGAAAAATGAAAGTTCTATAAATCCACAATTATACTCGGTAAGATAATTATTAATTAATATATTATTGGCGAAAAGAAATCATCAAAATGAGAGATATCATGTACAGTTATTTCATTATAATTTAAAATTATATAAATCCATTAAAGTTTTTTAGAATTTACAATTATAAATGATGAATTCTTTTTATTATAATTGAATAATCAAAATATTCATTTAATAATCAATAATAAATTAAAACATAATTAGATAATTTAATATTAAATTAAATTAAATCATAAATAATAAGATTTGAACTTAAATTTTTTATTTTAAACTTTCTTCTTATCACTAAATAAAGAAATTTTAATTTTTATGCATTTAATATTATAAATTAAATTTTTTAATATTAATGTAGCATACTTTTATTGTCAAAGTAAAATTTAAATATAAAAAAGCATAGAATATTTTTTCTGCCATCGGATAAAGTGTTCATAAATGAAATAATTTAATTTTGAAACATCTAAAAAATTAAAAATAAATGGAACTGAACTAGTAATTTTTTAAATACATTAAAAATCATCCCAATAGCGATCTAGCATCATATTTAATGAAAGTATATTATTATAAATTGCCGTTTTAAACATTCCTTAACAAAATCATTTCTCAACATTAATTTTCACAAGCAATCACATCTAAAAATCCTAATTTACTTGTACATCCCTGTCGTCCAGCATTTCTATGTTCGTACATTTTTCTTAAATCCGGCCTTGTTATATTATGCACGTGAAAGTGAAAAAAAAAAAGGAAAAAGGTTACTGACTGCAAAAGTGTGAGTGGTACTGTTATGAACCGTACAGCAAAAAAAATTCATGATCAAAATGAAAGAGCTTCAATGTTGCATCTCCGAATGATCTGACAGTACGGTCCTGAAGCAGTTATAACAGCGTCTTCAAAATTTCCACATGCAAAAAAAATTACATACTCGTCATTTACTGCAAAATTTTAAGCAATAAATACCTGACTCGGTGATTATCCAACCAACAGAAGCGAGTGCTTGCTTGCGGTTGCCAGCAAATATGAACACAATCGAATAAATAAACCGTTAAAATATTCGTCGTTGGCGGGACACTTTACTTTCCAAATTACCCTACCAGAGACCTTTTAATGCCATGTTTATCCTATTAGATTTCCCCAACAACAGTCAAACTTGACAACCGCTTGAAGGTCCCCGAAGGATGAATCGGTCATTTTCCAACGAAGCAGCGCCTTCGGCAATATAGCTCAAAAGAAAAAAAAAATCAAAAGGGTGACGCGTCGACGTAAAAACCATAAAATCTTTCACGTGTCCGTCACGCCAAAGGCGCCCTGCTTTTTTATTGCGTGTGTGAATTGTGATCATCAATGATCGATTCCTCCCACAAAATCCCAAGGTTCTATGATTACACGTGTCAACCAACAGCAACTTTTTCTAATTACCGGTTCGTCCACGTTTCTGACCTTTCAAATGCCAATTCAAGACCACCGTCTCTAAGTTTGCTCATTTTTGCTACTCCAAAACTTTTTTAAAAAAATCATTTCTTCTATTTATCGCGAAGAAAAAATCTAAATCGACTTTATTTGAGTTTGAAGAGTAGACGCTTTGTTGCGGCGTTTTTGTGTTTGATTGTGGTAATTGTCTGAAAAAGGAAGAAAGATGGTAGCTGAAGCTGAGGTTGTTTGTCAAAAGAGGGTGCCGGTGTTGGACGTTCAATATTTTGGTAAAGGAAGTAATATGGAGGAGATTGATGAAATTGTTGCGATTTCGTCGACGGTTTCTTCGCCTAAGTTTGGACAAGCTCTTTTTGCTGAGTCAGTTGCAGCCGATTTATCCACCTCTCAACTGGTCAGTCAGTCTTTTCTCTTTTTTCCCTGTTTTTATGTTGAACCTGAATTCTGAGGAGGTGTTGACTCCCAACCAAAAAAGGTTGAGCTGTAAATATGTTGCCTTTTTATTTTTATTCATCCAATTTTATTTTCTTTGGAAGTTTAACTGAAATGATTAATTTTTTTTTTTTAGAATATATTGATAGCTGACATCTCTAGGATCCATGGATTTCAGGGTTTTGTAAAAAGATGTTAAGTTTATGTGTTTGGTGACTGGAATTTGACAACATTGAGATTTGAGAAGGTTGCATCTACCCATGTTTATTTGCATCTAGGGAATAAAACATCCAATTTGTTTAGTTTTGGCCACATCTATTTGGAGATACCTCTAGTTGCTACTAATAGTTTGCTATTATTTCAATTCAAGAGAAAATATCGTTCTAACCATTAAAGTTTAAACCTTTGAAGAGATAAGCCTTATATCAAATTTTCTTCTAGTTCAGGATGTGAAATCTCCGGAAAAAGTCCCAGATCCAAGTACTGAATCTACCGTCCTGCAATTTGTCCCAAGCATCCGTTCAGGTAGTTTTGCTGACATCGGACAGAGGAGATACATGGAAGATGAACATATTAGAATAGATGATCTATCTTCACATTTGGGATCCCTTTTCAAGTTTCCCAAGCCTAGTGCTTTTTATGGGGTAATTACTGTTTTGGCTGTGTTGCTACTGCTTTAATTTGATGATGCTGTGTGATTTATAACTAATTTAGGTTCCACTTTGTATCCAGGTGTTTGATGGTCATGGAGGTCCTGAGGCAGCAGCTTATATAAGGAAAAATGCTCTTAGATTCTTTTTTGAAGATGTTAATTTTCCACAGACTTGTGAAGTTGATGATGTTTTCCTGGAAGGGCTTGAGAATTCCCTTCGGGAATCATTTCTTCTTGCTGACCTCGATCTTGAGGATAATTGTGCTGTGAATAGCTCTTCTGGAACAACAGCTATTACTGCTCTGATATTTGGAAGGTTTGTTCGTGCTTTATTGCTGCGATTGCTATTTATTCAATTCAATTACTTGAATGTTGTTTCATCTTTTGAATCTCTAGCTGACTGGTTTTTCTGGGCTTTAGCCTACTAATGGTGGCCAATGCCGGTGATTGCCGAGCAGTTCTCTGCCGAAAAGGGAAGGCAATTGATATGTCTGAAGACCACAGGCCTATTTATCCATCAGAACAGGAGAGAGTAAAAGGGCTGGGAGGGTATGTTGATGATGGGTATCTCAATGGTGTTCTATCAGTATCCCGAGCCTTGGGGGATTGGGACATGAAGTTCCCTAGGGGTTCTTCACCTCTCATTGCGGAGCCTGAGTTTCGACAAGTGCTTCTGACAGAGGATGATGAGTTCGTCATCATTGGGTGTGACGGGATTTGGGATGTTATGTCAAGTCAACATGCAGTTAGCCTAGTTCGCAGAGGATTGTGGCGCCATGGTGACCCTGAGCAGTGTGCTAGAGACCTTGTCAAGGAGGCCTTATGTCACAACACATGTGATAATCTTACTGTGATCGTTGTATGCTTCTTTGCACCTGATCACCGGGAGCAACCATCTCCTAGGCAAAGAAGATTGAGGTGTTGTAGCCTGTCTGCAGAGGCCCTGTGTAGGTTGAGGAGTTTGTTAGATGGCAATGCCAATCGGTGAATGTAAATAGAATCTTTAAATAATACTCTTGGTCAATATAGGATGTTATACTGTTTCTGGCTGCTCCAGTTACAGCTATAAAAACCAGCTAGCAGTTTTGAAGGGGATGCTTTTGGTATATTTATGGTGGGTTCTGGGCGGATGTACATAGATGATGGTGGTGTAGAGATGGCCCGTATATTATTGTGTTCTCCAAGTCATTTATGGATTCTTTTACTCAAAATCCAGGGTGGCAGCACTTTGGTAGTTCATTGTTCATTTGTGAGATGTATGTATATATATATTGTCAATAAAGATGGAAGTTTTCGTTGCTGTCTTCATTTGTGAGATGTATGACAGAAGATGCTTGTTTTCTGTCGGCCCGGAGTGCTGAACGGCTATAGCAAGTCCACACGGGAGGAAACTTCCTATTTTTTTCTTATTAGATACATTTGGATTAGAATGAAGCTAAAGGAGAGGAGGAAAGAGTTGAGCTTTGGCTTTTATCCCCCTCTACAGACCACAAGTACCTCAACCTATTAGAAGTGCGAGGGCACAGGATGAAATTGCATATTAAGTTTCGCCTTTCCGAGTAGAAGAGCCTTTCCTTTATTATTTGTTCTCCATTTTTCAATTGCTTTAAGTAAAAGGGGAAATGGAAAATATCATATAATCACTCGAATATCTTCAAGCTCGTTGGCTATTTGATTTTCCTTTTTTTTCTTTTTTCTTTTTTTTTTGGGGGGGGGGGGGGGGGGGGTGTTTGATTGGGGAGGGTTTCAACGTGGGATTTAAACTAATTCCTTCAATTACTAGTGCCGCTGATTTAAGCTGTGTTGAGCACGAAAAATGGATCGTTAAGCTTCAACAAATGGATCGTTAGTAAGATCACTATGGTTGTTGTTAGTAACTGCGACGTAGGCAAGTCCTTTGCTAACAGCAAAGTTATATCATATTTCAGTTTTAATCGAATTAACTAATCAAAATGATTTAATCAGTTTTAACTTTTTTATTATTATTACTAGTATTTCGTTTTATTCTTGAATTTCAATACTCACAAATCAACAATGCGGTATAAGTGATCATGCCAACTCAAGCTCATCTTTCAGTTTAAGGTGACATGATTTCTTCAATGTCAAATCAACATTGATCTTTTCCATGCCTCAGGACCCAACACCAACAGATCCTCTTTCGATATCAAATAGATTTATATCCAAGAACACCCCCTGCCAATGCGGAATGTGGGTGATGGCAAACTGTTCCCTTGGTGTCCAAATCATCTATAAACCAAAAGAAAAAAAGGCGTGCGTAAGACATCATCCATTGAAAAATAAATAGGATCCAGCATTTGAATTAAGAAGTTACCTCTAAACTATTAACGATCTTGTTCTAATAACCACAGGAAATTCTGCTATAAAATCAAAGTACACAATCCCCATACACATCATGTGTAGTATACTTTTATTTCTTGCAGGTCAGACTTCACAACAGTATTTTTGCTGCAGTAAGAGGAGTGAGAACACATCAAGGGCTATTAAGGTTATCTGTTATTATCAACAACATATCTCATCAATGAAAAATTGATGCATTTATGCACACTACGACCCAACCCCCCCACACACACACACACAAAAAAGGCATTTACATCAAGTACTTGACTAGAAGTTAAAATATCATAATCCTAAAGCAGGATAGATATTTAAGAGAATAATGAAAATTTGTGAAACATTTCATTATCCAACACAATTGACATTGCAATTGAATATAGAACTTTATTTATTGGAAGAAACATTCACATCAAAAAATCAGTGGAATTATTGTCACAAGGTCTGAGTCCTGACCACCCAGGTGAGATGATTATCTTGTTGAGCCTGAGCTTTTAGCAAATTTTGCAAACCGATCCAAACCACGTTTGAGTAAATTTTCAAGGAAAGGTTGAAGTACCTGAATATATAAAGAGAGGAAAATGATGGAGTACTTCATGTTAGCTCAGATGTGACAAATGATTTCTCTGAGAAAAACTAAAAGAAGCATTATCCTTTTGCAATACATCAAGTTTAACTATTAGTATTTATTTTTTCCAATGGTAAGAAATTCGAGGTGTTCGCCTCAATGACATTTTTATCATGGCAATAAGACTTATGGATGCCACCGGAGTCAAAAGTTGAGGAACTTCATATGAAACTGTTAGCTGGAAAGGAAAATTGCAACAAGTGAGCACAATTCTAAGTGATAGCCAATAAAAACTCATCAGCTCTCTACTTTATGATTTCTCTCATAAAGCTGTAGCACAAAATGTTTGAAACTACATGGAACAATTTTCCATTTACGATATTTTTTCTATCAATCCACCTGGATTTTTTTTTCTATCAATCCACTTTTCATTCTGCCATTATGTAAAGACATGAAAAAGTGTGTTTTTATAAGTGGCTATGGCTATTTATTGTATTGGTCACAAAACTGCAACATCAATCAAAAAGGTAGCATATGCACATAGATTAATCCAAATGTTGGTAATAAGGGAGAAAATTTGACAATGCAGTTCATAACTTTTAAGGAAACAACAGCAATGAATCAACAAAGCATCAAATCAAAATATTGTATAGAGCAGCCTCACTTCTATTAAACATGATGAGGGACCTTTTGGATAAAATCGAGCAGCACCCCTGCCATGTAAAAGATCAAGTTGTTAAGACTCTACCATAAGTTGAGAGAAATGATAAAAAAAAGATTTATTCAAAGGAATACAATAATGTAGAAATAAAGAAATGACCTAGCTTTTTCATTACATGAAACCAAAGGAACTTCAGGGTCAAGAACAAACAATACTAGATGTAGTCATGTTACATACGAAACAGAAAAATGTTGTCAGTGCAAAAGAATGTGCTAAAAACAACCTGGAAGTGGCAAAGTTTAAGTGGATAAAGAGCTTTGATAATGGTTTTAAAAAGTTGCATTCAGTCTTTCTTGAAGTTGTAAAGTTTTAAAAACAGCATACTTGAAGGAACAACATGTGGAAATTGAAATGGAAATTCTATAGTAACATAATTTATGACTCATCAGAAGATTGCAGATTTATAATACTACCAAATTTCTATTTTAGTGACATAAAAAATTTTATAATAGCAAGAATCTACAGCTTTTTCTTCGATGCTTCCACAGATCATCTTTCACACTTCCATTGCATCATTTCCATCAGTACCTGAAAACGTAATAATTTGTTTTCTTATGCTGCATAGTTTCAAGTCAGCACCCAATTTTGCAATATATAGCCTTAACAGATATGCAAGAGTTTCCCAGCACAATCTTCTGTGATGGCAGATGGTTAGTTCATAAAGCTTTGGCCATCAACAAGACAGAGCAAACGCAAACTCACAAACTGTCCTAAACGAAAATGCAGTTTTAGTTATTCATGTTTGCTTCAATGATTGAATGACAATTTCTGCTACCTGTTAGGAAGTCCTTCCAGAGATTTCCAGTGAATTTTCTGATTTGGGATGGGCTACAAAAGCAAATAAAGATCAGTTGAATTGAAATTTGTAGAAACTCTTACCATTTGAAAAGATAATGATACATGAATAAGCAAAAGAGACCCCCTTCCCCCCCACCCCCCCCCGGCCAAAAAAAAAGAAGGAGCTAAGCCAATATCATGATCCTTACTTGCATATTTCTAGCAAGCCAAGAGTATTCAAGATCACTACCAAATGCTTTATATTTCAACGTCCACCGTGACAAGTCAGGCTTATCTTCTAATACCTAATTAAAAAAAAAAAAAATCAACAATCAAATTCTCCAATGAAATCATCACTGTAATCCGTAATACAACTAGAACATATAAGAATAAACCATGGACTTACCTTGACGGATGAAATGAATGGCATCCAATTGGGAATTGCTTCACGATCAGAGTAGCATTTGTAAGCCACCGAGGCAGGCACATCAATTTCAGTTTTTACCCTGAATTCGGTTGCACCAAAAAATTTCAGTCAACATATATATAAATATATAAATATGTGTGTGTGTGTGTGTGTGTGTGTGTGTTATGGTCAATAGAAAGAAGAGAAGGGAAGATTCCAAAATTTACGTGCAGTCCTGCCACTTCATGACAGGAGAAAAGGGCCTGGAGAAAGTGAAAAAGGAGCCCTTCTTAAAGAACCGACATGGGATTCTGATGAATATACTGCTAAGGGAAGGTGGCTTCAAAGACAAGACTCTGCAACTGGGTAAGGCGGTAAACAGGATAGCATTTCTGTTGGTTGGGGAGACATGGCTGAGCCTGATAGCGTTTGGGCTTGAAATGAAGGAAATTACAGCTAAAGACATAGCTCCAAAATTTCCGTTGCAGAAACAAAATACAGAGGGAAGAAAGATAGAAGGCGACTGGACACCAAAATTCCAAATCCACAAGCGCGGCCAGCAGTCCAGCACCAAGATTTTCTGCTACCCCCTAACATGGTTTTATTTTAGGCTAAAATAATAAAAAAATTTTAAATTTTATACTTAAATAAATTTTATATTTTTATTATATTTAAAAAAATTTTAAATTTAATTAATTTTAAATTTTAAATTTATATTCTAATAAATTGTTAACCTTTAATTTATATAATAAATATTTTATTTCAAATAAAATTTTATTTTAAATATAAATTTAAAATTAAAACTTTATTTGAATACAATAAAATTATATAATTTATTTAAAAAATAAAGTATTCAAAATTTTTAACATTTTAGCCTTTTATTTGTTTTTTATTTTTAAAGATGGAATGCTGGAGTTACAGACGAGGACGTAATTTAAAAATCTTCAAATGAAATAAAGGGCAGAATCAAGAAAACATAATAGATAATTTAAACATGTAACACAAGGCACTTTAAAAATTATTAGAATCATTAAAGAAGAAACAAATTTTAATTTAAAACATATGGATCAAATCAGTCATCAATTAAAAATAAGAGATATATTCAGAAATACACAAACATCTATTATGTCAAATATAAGTATAATAAAATATAAAATATATAAGTTTATATTTGATGCCTTATCAGTGTATAGAATCTATACACTGTCAATAAATCAAATAATATCATCTTATTAATGAGTAAATATTAATTTTTAAAATAAATAATATAAAATAAATATTTTTTTTAAAAAAACTTGTTTATTAATAAAGTGTTATCATTTAATTTACTTCATTAATAAGATGATATCATTCAATTCATTGACCTATCAGTAAATTAAATGATATGACCTTATTAATGAGTAAATATTAATCCTTAAAATAAATATATATAAAAATTAATATTTATTTAAAAAAATTTACTCATTAATAAGATGACGCCATCTAATTTACCTTATTAATGAGATGATATCATCTAATGCACTGAAAATGTATAAAATTTATACATTAATAATACATAAAATATAAAACCAAAATATCTTAGCATTGATATCTCTTATTTTATACTAGATAAACAAATCCTTGAGCATATGCCTTTCTATTTGTCTATTACATATTGATTCTAAATTGGTCATGCATAGATTTTGAAGTTTTATGCAATTGATCCTAAATTTATCATAGATAGATTTTAAAGTCTACTATATCCTCATTATCATTCGGAGATGTATGCTTCTTTACTAAAAAATATTAACCTATCACAAATTCGTATCTTTTCTTAATAGCTACAATATTTTTTAAGAAAATAAACACACAAACCAGATTTCCTAATTTTATTTACTGGTAATACAAAAATTTTGACTTTTTAAATTACTTATTTTGATTTATCATTAATAAAAAAATGTGTTTAAGATGTACCCAATTACAGACGATGAAAGTTAGATCCTCATGTTAGATTATGGAAGCTCCTAAATAAAACAGGAAATCTAAAACTCAAGTGCAACCACCGATTTGCAAAAACAAATTTATGACAAATCAAGCTATCAATAAAAAAGCACAAAAAACAAAGTGATCACATACAAAGATATATATATATAAAGTGCAATAGAAAAATTGTTATTTCTAGTATTTCCCTTCCAAACATAGCATAACACAACTTCATTTAACATAATGAAAAACGATAATATCAGATTTATAGATTTATATATAATATTTTTTGAGAGAATAGATTTATATATAATTATATATACTATATATGAAGCAAAACACTATAGATTTAGTATATATTCCCTTTGTCTCATTCTTTTGTTCATTTTTATTATTTAGGATGTCCTAAAATTATGTTATTTTTTTTAACATTTAAAATTTTTATTTTTTTATATTTTAAAATTATATTTTTAAAATTTTTTTAACTTTTTGACATTAAAATTAATGGAACTTTAAGTTTATAAAAAATTTTAATTTTAATATTAAATATATTAAAATCAAAATTTTTTTAAAATTTCATAAAAATTAATATTAGTCAAACAATTTGGACCGAAGGAGTAATTATATAAACAACTTTTAGGTTATCCTTAATATTCTTCATTTGTAGATAAGCTTCAAAACAAAAAACTTTTATTTTTTTAAAATTTAGGCAATAACTTTGCTGCCTAATAGCTTCAAAGGCTAGCTTAAGCCTACCTAATTAAAATATGTTTAATCAAACTGGTTATTATTACATTATACAAATGTGAAAGGAGAGAAAGAGGAGTTGATATGATATCTAAAACAACTATAAAAATTTACTAATCAAGATAAAAAACCTTAATGACAACATATAAATTGATAGAAAATATCATCTTTCTCCAAGCAACTAATCTAAAATGTCAAAAATAATGCTTTTTGTTACATTCATTTATTAAGTCAACATGGTCCATTCGCTTGGGTGATTAGTCAGCACACACCTAGTTATCATGTCATATCTCTTCGAGAACTGACTTGTTTCTCATCAAAAAAGGGCTCGCCTAACATCCCTATTGACGTCTTATCTAGACATCACTTTAGAATTGAACACTTGGCCTTTAGCTTGTTTAGGACCATTAAATATAGCCCACACTTGCCAAAGATCATTAAATGTAGCTCACAGTCACCCACGTAGACCCTTTTTAAGCTCTACGTAGACTTACCATCAACTGTCAATTATTTCAATCAATTATTACTGCCCTTCATCTCATATATAAGGTAAGAAAGAGAATCAGGTACATAAGAACTTAAAACTTAACCATTCTTTCTATTGAAGCTTCCTCCACACATCTCAACTCTTCTTTCCTCTAAAAACCCTAAGTACCCAATTGACTTAAATTTAAGAGCCTGTCTTGGAGAACCAATTTCAATGCCCCCTAATTGTACTTTATGGCTATAGGTTCAGGCCACTTCATCTTCAATGTCTTATAAGCTCTTTCTAGCTAAAATACCTAAAAAATACTATTAACAATTGGCGTTGTTTGTGGGAACTGACAGCCATGTACGTCATCCCCATTATTTTGAAACAACAACACCTGCCATAAATGGAACAACCTTACCTACAACTATCTTTGATGCAATAACCATGTTATCAACCCCTTTCCTACAAATCCCATCACCAAACCTTACCTGATAGGATCCCAAGTATGAACACATCTCTTCATTCCCTAGCAACCCACTTTTATTAAATGTATGGACTGCGCAACCTCTAAGGTTTACAAAAATATGATGGAAATTTTATCTCTAAATATGACATTAACTCTACTATTGGTCCACAACATTGTCGCTGGACCCTCAACCCAGCATCCCAACCACCTCTTATCTAGGTCCAGTCCTCACAATCCATTAACGTGACTCATTGGCAAAACATTTTCCTTATAATATCCATCATACATGTCTCACTTTCTGTCCCACAAATCCTAATATACCAACCAAATATGCAACAACCTTCCCTAAATTTTTACCAAGTATTAATGACCTAACTCTAGCTTTTGAATACCAAAGTAGCCAACTAGTAAAGGCTGCTTCAACAGCATCAATAGGCTACCCAATAACTATCACAAGAGAGACCACACCCAAGAAAAAGTTCTATTTTCTCCTTCAGAGAACCACTGTAAAACCTTACCCACCCTAAAGAAAGCTACCCCCAACCCATCTAAGATAGTGTTTACCCTAACAACCCCACTACATAAAATCAAACTCACACAAACCCTTACCTTGATAATGAGTTAGCCGCTCAAATGGCTTTCTTACAGAAAGAATTGACCAACTTAAAAAAAGAAAAAAAGAAAAACCTCTAATGGCTAAAAGATGACTACAACCCCTTTACCCCATAATTAGATGGGCCGATATCCCTATTTTTTTAAAAATTTTTAAAAAGACCTATGAATGGGGCCATTGATTTAGAGGACCATTAAGATCATTTCAAAACTTTCATGGATTTACATAATGCCACAGATGTAGTAAAATGTATGATTTTCCCTAGAATTTTGTAAAAAAGAGCCCGTACTATTTCTATCCCCTGGCCCTAACCATTGTTGACACTTCGACACCATTAATAAATAGTTTTTGGCCTTACCATAAAAAAAACATAATGAGACTTTATAGCAATACTTGAAGAGGTTTAATGCAACCATACTGAAAATTAAATGCTTCAACACTAAATAGGTTATTTAGGCTTTTACCTCTAAAGTCAAACATTATCACTTCAGGTATTCCTTGACAAAAAATAAGCTTGAGCAATTATATCAGTTCTATGAAAGGGCTTAAAAGTTTGTTGAAGCTGAAGAAATCAAGGTAGTAAATAGAGCTGACAGGTGTGAACAACATGTCAAACATTTGCAAGGTGATAGTAAGTGGATAGACACCCTAAGCTAATAGTTTTATGACAACCACCAAGCCTACAACCAATCCAAAAAAAGAGATTGGCATAGCAACAACAATTGTACCTCATAGAAATAGCCTAGCCACTACCAAACTCAAACTAAACCCTTAATGCCATCATTTAGTAGCCCACCTAAATAAACAATCAAATACCCTACCAGGCAAGGCTACCCCTAAGAAACTTGATAACTAACCTCCATTAAAATGACACTGTAATTACCATTCAACTAAAAGGCACCCCATTGATGAGTGCATAGCTCTTTAAAAAGAGATTAAAAAATTAGAGGGCCTGATTAACAACCAACCTACCTATCATGATAAAAACCATAATAAGCCACCACCCCACCCGTCACAAAATACACCTACCAGTTAATAGGGCGAGCGCTTATCTCACCAAAACGAGAAAGCCTTCCAAGCAAAAACAACTAGCAAATGCCTAGTCCAAGGGATAATCCATGTTATTATAAGGGCAATAAAAAATTAGGCTAACAGCAAATCAAAGTGCAAATCCCACTTGCATAGTATCATGACCATTGACATTGCTCCTAAAAGACAAAAAATGAAAGATTGGCAAGTGCAACTCTTAGAAAATGATATTGACATTTTGATGGATAATGACAATGATCTCATAGTGGTCGTTACAACCATTGTCAATTACTAAGTACAAAAGATC